ATATAAAATACAGTGTGTTCGTGCCTGTCTGCTGAATGTGACCCACAATATCTGACTCTCCTCTGTGGCCATGGAAAAATGAATATTTACAATGACAATAAATTATACTCCGTCAATAAAACACTTCCAACAAAAAACTGGATTCTAATTCTCAGGCAAAGTGATAAAGCTTCTCTTCCCTGCAAATGATACACTGAAGAATGTGAATATTTAACTTCAAGGCCGAAACAAAACAAAAGATAAGCAGGCATCCTTATTAATTTCAGTATTTGCAGCAGAGGGCAATCCTCCTAGAATGGCGGCGGTGCCACAGCACGCAAGCGTGACGTAGCTTCACATTCTCTATACATGAGAGGAATCTCTTTTCGTTATTTTCCCTCTTTAGCAAGTTAACTGAAAAATGGATATTCATTGTTTTTTGTTTAACCTGCTAATAAAAATGTGGTGGACTGAGTCACTGCTGGCTGAAATGGACTGGTGGTTTTCACATGAAACGATGGCCTTGAGTGTGGCGTGTTAATTATGTATTCAGTTGAGTATTCAGATGTAACTAAAATGGCATCAGTCCTTTATTAAGCATATACGTAAGCTTTAAGATTCACCCTCAGCTTGTGACAGCTGAAATAGTTATTGTGAATTGTGCAATTGTATCGCCGATCACTCTTGAGAAACTTGAAGATTCCTTCAGGACGGAAGGACAAATATCCAAACCTTTTCAGACTACTACAGCTTGCACTCATGCTGCCCGTTGGTTCGGCTACATCAGAAATAAGGTTCTCAGTTATGAGGAGAATTAGAAACTGGCTCTGATCTTCTGATCTTTCTCTACTGCACATAGAGAATGACTGAAAATTTATCAGAAGAACAAGTGAAAGAAAGATAGAGGTCATCTACGCAACTTGGAAAAAGAGGTGGCTTTTTTGCAATAGGTACCCAGACAGCAGACAGTTTCGGCCCAGATCCGGCCCACATTTGGCCCTCGAAAATTTTCTTCATCTTGTCTTCAGACCTCTGCAAACTATCCTTGTCCTGACTATGTTAGGTAGTTTGTTATTAGGCTGCTGTTTAGGGTGAGGCCAAGGTCCATTAGTATTGTTCAACAAGAATGCACATTCACAAGTAACATCTGCTGCTCTGCTGTCTCAGCCAGTAATAGCTTTACTTCACAGGTGTACAAGGGTCTCCTCCACATGTTCATCAGCATTCCTGTTGTACTTTTTAACAAATATTCTCATCAGATCTTCCCATTCCTCAGTTTCAGGGATGCATATGCCCTCTGGTGCAGGCTTTGGGATGGAAATCTCCATGAGCGCTGATTCTGGGATGGACATATCTGGATTGAAAATAAATATGTGCTGCTTTCGTGTGTGTTATTGTAAGGTCTGTTTTGTGTTTTGTTTCTGGTTTAGGTTTTCATGTCTTTTATTTTGATATGTTGCCTTGTTTCATGTTCCTGTCATGTGTTTTTCCTACGCTGTCATGTGATCCTGCCATGTGGTACTAGGTGCGTTCGACTTGAAGCACGACTACAGACGGCAACGAGAGTAGCCGCATGCAGTCGGGGGCGGAGTTGAAAACGGAGTCATCAAGCCGGACACTTTCTGCTCCCGTTAGTGATGCTCGCGCGGTGTTTGCATACTCCATCACAGATGAAGTGAATGAAATGCAGTTATTTGTCAAATATACAGACGTTTCAGAAACGTTTTCATGAGCAACAGATATATACTAATTACATATTCAAGAATAAAGTGCAACGTATATATATACTATTTAAATACTAATAAAGTGGGGGAATGTATGCTTTCATCAGTGTTTTATGATAAACGTGACTCAATATAACATTGCGACTACAGTAAAAAAGCTTTTACTGTTCTAAAAACACAGATTTGTGGCTATTATTGGAATTGAAAAGGTTAGACTAAACCTGAAACACATGTGATAGTTGTCATGCGGTGAATCTGGCCAATCGTGAAATGGCTGTCGTCATCAACGCTCATCATCAACTCGCGTTGCTTTGATGCCACACGTGACAGTGACGTGGCGTCGGTGCCGTCTCAAGTCGGACAAAATTACTAACCGGCATGCACTGCTTCAAGTCAGATTGCGATTGAACGCACCTACTCTTGTCTGTGTGTCATGTTCTGATTGGTTTTCCTAGTCATGTGTCTTGTTTCCTCATTGGTGGGTTCTATCTGACAAGACTTCGGGTTTGAGTTGTTCGTTCATCACGTGACAGCCCCATAAGCTTTATCCTATGCAGTCTGAGCCGAAAGAGAATTGATTAGTTCATCTCTCTAGTCTTTCGAATCGTTCGTTCTTTTGTCACATGACAGCATTGGATAGAGAAATTAGTTAATTTACAAGCTTTCCGGCTCAGACTGCATTGGTTAAGTTTATGGGGCTGTCACGTGATGAACGAACGACTCGGAAAACCTGAAGACTTGAAACAGGTGAACTACTTGACTAATTCCAGTACAGAACCTATAGACTCGTTCTTCCCGAGTCACATTAAAGATTCGTTCAAAATGAACGAATCGTTCAAGAACGACCCAACACTAGTGCTTTGTTGTGTATTGAATGTATTTATCCTGCTGTCGATGAGTGTTTAAGTCATAGTCAAGTTAAGTTAAGTCAAGTCTAGTCTTCGTTTGTTTGTATTTTGCATTACACTTTGTTCTGCACTTGGATTCACTACGCTCGCCTACAGTGGATTATCATTACAGTTATTAAACTGGTCTTACTCATTTCACATGTAATAGGGCATTTAGAAAGGAGCACTTAAAGCAGACAAGCAAAAATGGCCCATTTAAAATTTGAAAAAGAATGAAATGTGACAACATGCAACATGTGAGGCATGTAACATGACTGCTTAAAATGTTATCTGATCTAATCAAAATTATACAAGATAATTTAAATATGTTGTCACTAAAAGACAATTATTAAGTTTATTTTTAGTAATTAAAAAATAAGCAAATTTTGTAGTTTGATAATGAATACACAGCAAAAACAAAGCTATACATCACATAATATGATTGATACAATGAAGTTCTATCATATTAATCACAGTAACAGTCCTTTATTCCATTAACCTTTTGCTTAATAACAGACTCAACTGCTTGAAACCTGATGATGCTCTTGCATCTACATATGAGAATTTTCCCTCCTTTCAACACAACCAATCATGTAGTAACATTTTTCCAAAATGAACAGTAGGATTAACTTTTGAGCAGGTCCACAAAAATTCTGCAGACATTTCCCAAGCATCTTCCATCCCTCAGGAGAAAGTGTTGAGAAGTAGTGTACATAAAGAGACAAAAACCATGGTTAACAGTGACACATTGGTGCATATATCCGTAATGTGGAATAAACACAGTATGTATAATCACAGTTTTATCTATAAACATTAATTATTGCAGAAGACTTGAAAGGAAGAGCTCACAGTTCTTATCTGTTACCCCTCTGTTAGTGGTTTTCTTTTAGGTTACTGCACTAGAATGCATAGAAAATACAATATATGATGATTGTTTTTCATGACAATGCATAATATTATAATTATATGTATTTGTTTTTTAAATATCTGTTATGCTTTTGATTGGAATATACACATACTGTAGGTCAGATATAATGTTACATTCACACTGTTGTATGGTGACAATTTATAGAGATGGAAAACCCAAAAGCTCACATTAAGCGAGCATATAAAAAAAGTAATAAAGTCAAAGTCATACAGCATAACTTAAATAGAACTCACTGAAAATCCAAAAAAGCCTTACGTGATAAACATTTAAAAAATAATAATAATAAAAAACTAAATTCATTTTATTGATCAAGCATCAGTAACTAGAACACAACCTTGTGAGTTGCTTTGTCTACTGCCTTCCAAGGCAACATCCTGAAACAACTGAATTTAAACATAATATAGAAAACATTTAAAACATTCTATGATACAATATGTCAAATAACGTTCCACACAGAAGACTGAGAAATGTATTTAAATAAAAAATGTGAGTAATGATACGATACTCTAATAAAAATAAAAATACACATTTTTAGTTATTTATAAAACATTATTATTTAATTGATTCTATAAACGCAAAATTTCTCTAACCTCAACCACCATCTTGGATTGGATATTTTCACTGAGCCCATTCAAATTTATTATGGGATTTCCTTATTTATAAGTGTTGCTTAGAATTCAGACAACAAAGGTTTCTAAGACAGCAGTATAATTATCTTTTTGAACAGCCTTTGTGTCAGGTTAACGATGCCTTAAAAATGTCACCTAATAAGCAAGTCAACAAGATTTAAAAATGGAGCCATGTTAATATTGAGTATACTCAGCGGACCTAGTTGAAACTAAGGTTGAAAAAAGCAAGGAGGTTGACTTTTTTTTTTTGTATAATCATTGCCACATCTTGCCACAACTTAAAATGCCACATGGATTCAATTTGGTATGTGGAAATATTTGTTTATTATTATGGCATGTGTAATTCTGCTTTGTTCAGCTGTTTTGATGTTGGGTCTTTTCACTCTTTTCATTTATTAACTGGTCAGGTGTGGGTATCTTTTAAAATGCTATACTTCAAACATTCTAAATTCCTGCATATGCATAAGACAGTTGAAATGATAAATATTCATAATTAACAAGCAAACACTTGATCAAATATTATTTAAAAATATGAAGCTGGCCATCAAATATACGTGGCTTCTGTGTATGCCCATTCTTATACTTTTTCAGGTAATGTCTTGAAAGTCATGCATGAATTTTAAATGGAAGCCTAAATCTTAAGGATTTTTTTTCCAATTTGAGAAAGTTCAAAAAAGCTGTGAGCTCTAAAAAGGTAATTCTAGGAACTAAGTCTGATGTCACAGAATTACTAGACAATACTAGAATTCCAACACTTTCAGCATTTTAAAAAAATCCCCTCTAAATTAAATGTTAAACTACTGACATTTATACAAGACTGAAGATAGTTCAGACTACTGTTGATATGGTGAAAGTATTCAGAATGGTACAGAACATTGTAAAGACACCAGATGATGGGAGATTGTCATTAAAATGGACAGATTAGAGTGTGATGGCAGAGGACTGGGTGCATGGGTGATTTGTTTTGAGCAAACTGTTCAGTAGCATAAGTAGCACAACTCCTTTCAACTGAAATACATAGAACCAGAGCTGATCTTCTCTCCATGTTCCAAACAGCACCTTCTATTGATCAAGACTGGAACAATTGGACAAATGCACAGCACACACACACACACACACACACACACACACACACACACAGAGAGAGAAAGAGAGAGAGAGAGAGAGATGTAATCATTTAACTGCAGAGATAAACCCTATAATTCAAATAACTTTTACTTCATTTCACTTTGCGTTTAACATGTTCAAATATCACCTTAATGGACAATAAGAAATTCTAAGTTTTAGAAATTCAATAACCAATGTCCTTTATGTTTGCTGTACCTCATATGTTCGATGTTTCTCTTCATATGAAGAGTCTGTTTCCCTGACCACTATGGCCTTAGTCACCAGCATATCAGGGTGCTGTTGTTTGGCCTCCCGTATTGCCATGGCGAGAGCCTGCAGAAAGTTAGTTTTAATGACAGTAAAGTGATTTTAATATACATGTACCATTACATTATTTGCTGACCTACATAGTATGCTAAATTAGGTTTAGTGTTTTCCAAATCATACTAAATTATAAAAAGTTTTGGGTGAATTTTATACTAGTAGAAGAAAATTAAGAAAAAATAAAAATACAGGTGAATGTGTCTTTTAGTCAGGGTAAGCAATCATGAAAGGGCTATGTGGTTTCTACATTTATTTATTGCATATTAAAATTTACCAGCACTGGTCATCTGGCTTCCTTCATATTTAATAAGTACATACTTGACCATCACTATACATACTGTACATTACATCTACATGTCTTTGCTTACCTGATGTTGATCCACATCATCATCTCCTGTTATGATGATCCTTTTTTCAATCCTGGTCTCTGCATAACCTCCTTTCACTGTCTGAAACCAGTTAAAAACATTAAAGAATTTAATCTCCGACAAAAGATTTCATCAGCTGCCATTTTTATAGACTTTCGCCACCATTCTGTTTATTTAAAGCTTTTTTTATTTATTTAAATATTCACTGTAGTGTCTGGACCAATCAGACACACCATTTTTCATTTGATTTAACAAATCAATTATTCATTAGATTAACAAACATTCACAGACCCCTCACCCAATAAACATACTGGGTGCCAAGATGTCTGTGAACGAGGCCCAGGACCCTGGTTACCATGGCAACCATGACACCTTTGCTAGACCAGATAAACTTTACGACCTAATGGCATGTTGAGAGTTCTCCCTCTCACTACATTTTCCATAGGAAAGACACATAATGCACAGCAAAATGGACTCTTCTCTAATTAATTCATAGGAAAACCTTTCTGTGAATGAACACATATCTCCTCAGGACATTGTGTATACCATTACTGTTCTTGTATATTGTCTGTTGAATTGTATACTGTTTTGTGTGTGTGTTATGATAGATCACTAGTTAATATAGCCCCACCGATACCATGTTTGGTCTCTTTGAATTTGTCTTCTGATGATCTAAATGAGCGTTTATATTATATGTGGGTACATAGGCAATATATTAGTGTTCTAAGAATCTTTAGTAATTTTGATTCGAGTTCCATATGCAAATTACCATGCTCTCACACAAAGGGTCATAAAACTCCCCAGTATTTCCAACCTCCTGCTTGGAATTTCAGCCTTTCTCATTGGACAAGCCCATCCTGAGAGGCTTGAATCTTCTCAGACCTTAAAAGGCTCACACACAGTTCTGCCCATGTCTTGTTGTTCTTCTTCTGCTAAGAATTGGTTGATGGCAATTTAATTCTGCTACAGTTACTACTGGCAGCTGATATAAATAATTGTAATTAATCATAATTAATTGTAATTATTTATATACATTTCCCTTTTGAGCTAATTTGCTACATCACCTTATTAATGTTTGCAGAGAAATCGATCTGTCCATTTACTATCTACAATTTTTGAAGTTATGTCAAGCTGAATAATAATGGTGTGTTGGCTCAGAGGGCATAATGGGCCTCATTTATATACTTTTGAGCTAATTTGCTACATAATTGGTGGAGAACGGTGGCAATCGTTTAAACATTATTTGCAAGCGGACTCAGTATAAAACTTGTGTGTTTGTCTCATAAATTTCATTAACGTCTTACACATGCAAACCAGCTTCTGATAAACTCAGATAAACTATAGCTTGAATGTGCCTTCCTATGAGCAGTAGAAAGTTTTCAGTGCTATAATGCGTTTAAATCGTATGATAAGAAACTAAACTGATTTTAGCGAAGAAATCCTAATTTCTGTTGTTAGTAGAGCGTAAGCCTTATCCGACGAAGAAATCTCAGATTAGCAGCCCATATAAATGGTACCAGAATAAATTAATCTGGTATTGGGCGAAGAAATCCCCATTTTCAATTTTGAATGCATAAGTCTTAAATCTGACGAAGCAATCTCAGATTAGCGGCATGAATTAATCTGCGTGGCGAAGAAATCCAACTGGCAGTTAAATTAAATCTGGGCGACGAAGAAATCTCGCTGCAGTATATTTACTTTTAATAGTGATTTGAGCGATGTTCCTCATCTCCCTAAATTAAGGCCTTCTTGTATCTATTGCGTATCATTGTAGTCATTAAGGTGATGCAATTGAATAGCGAATTAATGGTGTAATTATAGCCTAGCTAACTAGTAATTCACCATTGTCTGTTAAGTGAATGTGCTGTTTTGATTTGTGAATGAAGTTGTATGCGACACGTCATAACTGACTGCGCTTAAGTTTCCCATGCATGTTTACAGCAGCGCAAGTTCTGCTCCATTTGCGCGTGTTGTAAGCTTGCATTGGTCTCTTAGCAACGTCTGACCCCGGGAGGTGCGAGCAGGCTCTTCCGGTTCAATCTGATAACATCACACACGTAACAGACCTTTGTGTAAACAAAGAACTGCGTGTAGCCAACGCTAACTCTTTAGCAGCCATACAGGCTAAGGTAAGCCCTTTACCTCAACTGCTAGCTGTTAGCATCTGACTAACACTTAGATAGGTGTGAGTGTAAAGTTTGAACCACTCCTCCTCTCTCTCTCTCCCCCTCACTCTTGGTTTCACTTCCTGTTTGTGCTATCACCTTCTGTTTAGGCTCAGTTAGGTTGGCCCCTCCTCAAATACTTTGGTTTTATTTGTGTTATTTTTATTTTGACTTTATTCTTCTTCTCTTTGATTTTATTTCATTAATTTACCTTTGTTTAGCTTGAATGTACTAATTCTAATAAACTAAGTTGATTTTAATTAAATCTGAGCTTTAATTAAATCTATTTATTTATTTTTCCTTTTAGTTTCCTGCAGCTATTAGGACCTTTTCGTTTTACTTTACCTTATTTTCGTTTATTTGACCATCATCATCCACCCTCTTTGTATAGGATTGCAGTAGTTTTATCAACTGATGTTTCCTTAATGAGTTATACAGGTTATTAGTAGCCTAATCCCTGTTTCCTCTCTACTCCTCCTCACTCCTCAGTGCCAGGCCCCTCCTTGCTCCTCAGCACCAGGCCTATTACATAAGGTACAGTTACCATGCATTATGCTACAGGCCCGAGAAGACTAGAAACACTTCCTAGTGTCTCTGTTTATATACCTTGAGGTGTTTGATGTGTCCCTGCTAGCTTAGCTAACAGACCCCCTAAGTTTATGACCTTGCTGCAGCATTCCTTTTAACAAGTGACAACTGCCTAGTTGTATCTCCTAGTTAAACTAAATAAGGCAAGCCCTTCCTTCTCTCTCTGTCTCTTTCTGATTTTATTTCAGTTTTGTTTTATCTGATACCTTCATAGTGACCAAACCTGTGAACCATCAGTGCTTTGAGTAATAGTTTGACCACATGTATAGCCCGGTCCTTAGCTGACCCCTGCTTACATCCCCATCAACAAAGTTACTCAAACTCTCTCTTTGTGTTGAACACAAAAACATAGCACCCTACCTCACTAGCTGCCCCTCACCAGCTATTCACACCTTACACAGCCTACACAGCCATTCCCCATACAGATAGCGTTACACCTCTGTACGTACTTGCATTTGCCTTCTGCCTCTCTCTCTCTGGTGTTCCCACAAGTGTGCCAGTATGTCACAGATATTCCACAGACATCCAGCCCTGCCAGCTCAACAGGACCACTTGGAAACCCAGCAGAGCACTGTGATGGACATCCTTCAGCCCAAAGCAGCCAATGACCTGCAATGACAGAGAGAGGAACAGCGAGACTGCGACACAAATGGACACCTGACACCAAGCCTGGACAACCAGGAGCTGACCAGCATCATCTTCTCCTTGGCCCACACCCTCAAGGGCCTCAGACAGGAGGTAAATGATCTGAAACTGCAAGTCACAAACTGCCACAGGGAACTGACAACCACTCAGAGAGAGACGGCACAGAACAGATGCAAAGAACCTGACAGAATGGTGCAACAGAAGGAAATCACCAGTCTTCAGGAGGCACTAACAGCTGCTGAACACCAAGAGTAGGTTGGAAAAGCCACCAGACAGGATTTGGAAAGAGAACAGTTTCACACAAAATCACTGTTAAAAACAGCATATGTGAAACTTAACGAGAGAGACACTAGAATTAAGGCCTTAGAAGGCCATCTGCATGCAGCCAGAGCTGAGGTCCAAACCTGGACTCAGCAATTCTGCAACATTAAAGAGGCGCTTGACATGGTTCAGAAAGAATTGAAACAGTCCTACCGACTGCGCATGGACTCAAGTAAAAGACACCCTGCTGCATGTCACACAGCCAGCAGTGCAAACTCCCTCACCCCTGTACACAGATACAAAGGGGGGAACCAAAGTGTTCTGCTTGACCCTTGAGCCCACTGTTCACACTTCACCAGCCAGCAACCACAGCGGGATGGGGCAGGGACCCTTCCAGAGGACCACTGCAGACACACACACCGTGTGACCCCACAGACCCCAACAAGCTGGCCAGAGACAATACAACTGGCAACCTAAATACTGCAGAGGGCCACAACACTTGCCCACCTGCAAAACATGGACTTTTATGCTTGAACTCTGCCCAATGTGACCACACAAGACAGACTATCTGCTCAGGTTCACCTCTGGCCTTGAGGCACACAGGCAACAGAGATCCTGAGGACATTAAAGGAACTGATCCTGAGAGTGGCCTCACCAGCAGCTTAAACAAGCCATCATAAAGGAATTCTCAGACCCTGAGTCTGAACACGGACTGATCGCTTCCCTAGACACCAAACAGGGCCGGCATGAAACTCTCCATGCTGACTACCACAGACTTCGACGAGCTTACTTCGGAGCTCATAATAGTAATTACCCTGGGATGGAGGAGGACACCAGCTTCAAAACAATTCCCTGTGACCCCAGGAACCACCTGCACTTTCACCAGTGAGAGTCTAACCTGGCTGTTCCACACCGCGGGTACCACGGATAGCCTACTGGCTAACAACATCGACAAACAACCATCTTACCCTGCCACCATTACTAGGATGACAGGTGACACAGCCTCGACACCTGCTGCATAAGCTCGAGGACCCGCACTTTGCTACACCTACACCACAACCACTCCTGGAGGCAACAACAGCCAGAGAGCCACCACTGTCTCCCAGCCGTGAGTGGCAGGTGCGTGTCTGATTGTTCTGCACCTTTGACGTCGCTCGCTGTTGTCTATTCTACGGACAACAACGTTCCAAAGGGGGGATATTTGTAGCGTCTGGACCAATCAGACACACCATTTTTAATTTGATTTAACAAATCAGTTATTTATTAGATTAACAAACATTAATAAACATATAAACCAATAAACATACTGGGTGCCAAGATGTCTGTGAACGAGGCCCAGGACCCTGGTTACCATGGCAACCATGACACCTTTGCTAGACCAAGTATTTTCTGTGGCCACGAAAATATCCTTTCCTAGAGTTGATATGAACTTACACTGAATGTTCGCTGGACGAACAGATTGGTTGATGGCAATTTAATTCTGCTAGTAGTAATACTGGCAGCTGATATAAATAATTGTAATTAATCATAATTAATTGTAATTATTTATATACATTTCCCTTTTGAGCCAATTTGCTACATCACCTTATTAATGTTTGCAGAGAAATCGATCTGTCCATTTACTATCTACAATTTTTGAAGTTATGTCAAGCTGAATAATAATGCTGTGTTGACTTAGAGGGCATAATGGGCCTCATTTATCAATCTAACGTAGAACTGAGCGCAGATCCGTGCGCACAAATCAATTTTACGACAGAGTTCACATGTGATTCATGAAACATTCGTATGCCGCTAATCTCATCGTACTAATGATCGCGCGTTGATAAATGTGGCGGCAGAAAACAATCGTCATTTGAATATCACGCCCCTAAAAACACCCCAGTTTAGAAGCCTCACCCCTAGAGTTTACGACAAGGAGAAACGAAACCCGGCCAAAAAGACGAAGTAATCTCATGAAAGAGAAATTGATCTTACTCCAAAAACATATTTTAAATTTAACGGTATTCAGAACAGAACAAAAATGTAAAAATAAGTAGTTATAAAATTATATATTAAACTATAAAATAAAACACAAATTAGGCTATAGTGGCATTCATTATAAACAACTGTAATGTCAGATTACTTTTCTTAGGAAATTAATTATTATTAATTAATTCAGGTTTTGAGAGGACACGAAT